AGCAATCTTGCGCTTAAGCGATTCTATTACCTCCTGAGTAGCTGTTAGTTGGCGTTCTACTGTAAGAAAGAGCGCTCACTCTCCCCTGTTTACTTATTTACCTCACTATCCTCTCATAGATTCTTATTTTATTCAAGGTTATAAGCCGTTACTATCATTTATTCTGAATCTCAAATTGTCCCAGATTTAAAGTTGTGTCATTTGAAGGCCCCAGTGAAATGGACAAGAAATTTTCTCTCTCTGACTCAGGAAAGTGATGAGCCTAAGGATACATTTAAATAAACACTCCGGCTCCTTGAGCGGAAGTTGGACTCCTGAGGAGGGTATCGCGGGCCCACCAAGCCCCCTAGTGCACAGCGCCCCGCCCATGGTACCCATCGGAGCCCCAAGTCTGGCCGATGCTCCACCTCTGCACCACGGCGCCCAATCCCCGGATGGCTTCGTCTTCTCCTGAGTCATGGACCTGCCCCTCACGCCGATTGGCCTGACAGCTCAGCGCCACTCAGGGAAGACCCGGAGATGCAGAATTGATCAAGGAATGGGTCGCGCGGCCCTACTGCGCCTGCTCTCAAGGAGTCCACCAGGACTTTCCTAGAGGCTTGCGGGGTCGCGCACGCGCGGGCACGGGGCTCGCTCCCGAGTGCGCAGGTGCGGGCGGGGAGCGGGCGCAGGGGTTGTGGTGGCTGTAGCGGCCTGGGCCGACAGGTTGATCCCTTTGGCTGCAGCGGCCGAATCCCGGGGTTGCGCTGCGGCTCTGGCGCCGGAGAGGGAGGGCCCGGCTACCGTCGGTGAGGACGGGCCCCAGCGGGTGGGGAGGGTCCCATGTCCTGCGGTGTGAACGCCCCCCGGCCTGGATTTCCCGTAGGTCCCCAGGGCTGGGGAAGGGGTCCCTCGGCTGTGAGTCCCAGCGTTCGAGCTGCTTCCTTGTGTAGCCAGCGATTCTTCTCCTTCCCGGAACCCACCAGCCCCCTGGACTGATACTCCTAAACCAGGGAGCCACACATTTACCCGCCTTTCTTGGCCGTGTCCGTCCCACTGGTTCTGCGCTCCCCGGAGCTACCACCCGCCTCAGTCCCATCCCATCTCTGCAGCTCTGGAGGTCCCCGTGACCTTGCACTTTTTGCTGGGTTTAACCCTCCTAAACCTTCCACTTCTGTTTCTATAGATTGCCAGTTACAGCTTTCAAACTTTTTTGACTCAAGCTACACCGAAAATATTTATTTTACATGTATACCCTTTGCCTGCTAGATCACTGAGCCACACGTTTAAAGGGAAGGCTCACATGACGCAGCCAAATCTGTTCTCATACAAATGTATTCCATTCTGTTCCACGCCATTCCAAAAGACTGCTGCTAACCCAATGAATCAGGACCTAACGGGTCTGACAGTTTGAAACCCTTCATTTCCTTTATATTTGGAGGATGCCAAGTTCCATAATCAGATAAACACATGCAAACTTCAATTCCAAAGAAAGAGTACATTTTTATTTTGGCATTTCTGCTTTCTGGAGTCAGTGTGATTTTCAGGACTTGATTTAGATTTTCTTGTGTCATTGGATGAGATTTGTTTTGTTCCTTTTCCAAATGCTACCAGTTGAACTGGTGTATGAGGTTTGGGCTAGATTGTGGAGCTGCTGAGACAGACGGTTTTTACTGCGGAGGGACAATGATGAAAGTTAAGCTTAGGAAGAGTAACCCATGGGCACCTTCTGGGGAGAATTGGAATGGCCCATGCTGAGGACAGCAAGACAGGTAGGAATGTTTGGTGTGGGCTGAAAAGAGATGATGAAGAGCCAAGTTCTAAGGTAAAATGGGAGTGGGAAGGAGATGGAAGATGAGCGTGATCAGGTGTAAAGGGAATGAGACTTGATACGTTGGGACAGGTGCAAGAGGAGTACAAATAACTAAGATTCTTATTGAGGATGTTTAGGTGCTATGGGGCTGGGGGGGTCCCATTAACTGGGAGCACTCTTTCTGTACCCTCTGCATTTCTTTTATTTATTTATTTATTTTTGAGACAGAGTGTCAGGCTGTTGCTGTGGTGTCACAGCTCACAGCAACCTCAAACTCCTGGCCTTAAGGATTCTCTTGCCTCAGCCTCTCAAGTAGCTGGGACTACAGGCACCTGCCCCAAAGCCCAGCTATTTTTTGTTGTTATTGCAACTGCCATTGTTGCTTTAGCTGGCCTGGGCCACGTTCAAACCTGCCAGCCTTGGTGTATGTGGCTGGCACCCTACCCACGGAGCCACAGGCGCCACGTACTCTCTGCATTTCTCAGTTGCTTTGGAGCAGTAGTTCTTGGGCAGTTTTGCTCCTCAGGGGACATTGATCAATGTTAGTTGTCATAACTTTGGGTGTAGGGGGGCATTCAGAGCAGGTAGAGGCTAGAGATAGAGGCCACTAAACATCCTAGTTTCAACAGTACAGCAACTTACAGCAAGGACTCTCTGGTCCAAAATGCCAGTGGTACTTAGGTTATGAAACCCTTCTTCAGAGTAGTAATTTTTAATCTTTGAGGGCTCTCTAATTTCTCCCAGGAGTAATGCCTGTGTGTATCACAGAGTCTATGCATGTAATCATAAAGGGGTTCCTTAACTAGACAAAGGATACCTCTAAACCTTATGGCTCATTGGCAGGGGTGGGGGCAGCCATTGGGATCATTCAGGAACTATTTTATTTATTTTATTTCGGGGGAGGGTTAGAGTCTCACTCTATTGCCCAAGCTAGAGTGCTATGGTGTCAGCCTAGTTTATAGCAACCTCAAACTCCCGGGCTCAAGTGATCTTCCTGCCTTAGCATCCCTAATAGCTAGGAATACAGGTGCTGGCCACAACACCTGAATAGTTTTTCTGCTTTAATAAAGATGGGGTCTCTCACTCTTGCTCAGGCTAGTCACCAACAACTGAGTACAAGCAGTCCTCCTGCCTCGGCCTCTCACACTGCTATGGTTAATAGGTGTGAGCCACCACATCCAGCCTGCAGGAACTTTGTTGAAGAGCAGGGCCTGGACAAAGAACTCCTTATTCTTGTGCAATGGTTTAGTTTATAAAGGAGTTTCACTCATTGTATCTCATTTACCACTTTTCCTATTTTACAGATGAAACCAGCCCAGAGAAGCTACAGGATTTGCCCCAGATCTCCTACCTAGCAAGCCAGCACCAAAGACTCAGGTATTAGTGGATGATGGTGGTAGTTTTCACTCTCATGTGTGAAGGTAATTCTGTTGGTGAACTGTCAGCTGCCAAGAGAGGCTCTTGAATTTCTAACTTTACTGATTAGAGTTTGGACCAGTGGTGTCTGAGAGGCACCTAAGAGTTCCTAATATCATGTGGGTCTTGAGTTTACACGGAGCCCTTTGTGAACACCAGCAGGACAGCAGTTTCAAAGCAGGCAACCTGAGTATTGCATTCAAATTTCCCTGTACTCTCAGCTTTGGGGGAGGGGAAAGAGGGTAAGAGAGTGATGAACTATAAACCTTTCCATTTATATCTGCTTCACTTTTACTCCATTTACTTATTAAATCTTTATTGAGTGAAAATTGAATATTACAAAATAAATACATTAAGGCCCAAGTATTTACCCTAAAACAATGAGCATTTTATTTATTTATTTTTTTTTTT